AGAATAAAAATATAAAGTAGAACAATGCTCAGTGAATAACTTACACTTTTATGATCTTTATAGTTGTGTGTTTTCATTCCACTTCTGCTACTAACCATATGACTTTAGACAAGTGGTTCGAAACTGGGGTGGTTTTCTTTACCCCCCAGGGGACATTTGACAGTGCCTAAACATATTTTTGATTGTCATAACTGGGGATGGAGGTGCTACTGGCATTTAGTGGGTGGAGGCCAGGGATAGCTGCAAACCATTTCACAGTGCACAGAACCTCCCCAACAACAAAGAGTTATCTGGCCCTAAATGGCAATAGTGCCAAGGTTGAGAAACCCTGCCTTAAATGCATAATTTAACCTGGGCTTCAGTTTCCTCATCTGTAAAATAGGGCTAATAATAGTATCTACCTTGTAAAGTTATCGTAAATGTTCCACATGTTAATGCAAATACCTAGTGCCTACTAATAGTAGGTACTGCACAAATATTCCCTACACTAATCGTTATTAGTATGCCTCTGGCATCCCTCCTGGTTTCAGCCTTCTGCTGAGCACAGTCCACCTGGTTTGACTTACCTCCTGCCAAGGCTCTTGCTGGTCTTGACACTTCCCTTCTCTCCTTGACCTCAGGCCCTATCAAGTGGCTAGAAGCCTCTCTTTCACACACCATCCCTGCCTCCACCTCCCATTTCTCCCCTCCTCTTTCTCTCTCCATACACTTTCCTGTCTCATCTCTAGTGGCTCCCCATACCCCTCAGCGGGCCAGTTGCACACTCAGCTCTTCCCTGCTTCAGCACCTCTGCACAGACTTTCTTCGGGCACCAGTCCACCCTTGTACCTCCCACATGTCCAGCTAAAGTGACAGGAGATAGTGAAGCACGTCCTGGATCTGGACCAGGCTGCCTGGTCCCAGTTCTGAGCTCTGCCTGTTATTTGACGTCTAGTTTTGTGAAACTCACCTATAAAGCAGGGAAATATTTTTTTTTTCTTTCTTTTGGCACATTGCTGAGGACCAAAAAAGCAGGGAAATAATCTCCAACCCTTGAGGTTGTTTTGTGGACCAAACTGAGAATGTATGTACAAACATACAACTATAAAGATCATAAAGGTGTGAGTTATTCACTATTTGAGCATTGTTTTGCTTTATATTTTTATTCTCATAGCACTTACCACCATTTAACAAATTATAATTTTGTCTTTTGTAATGTCAGCTCTGTGGGAGTAGGAATTTTTGTCTGTTTTATTCACATATATCATTAGTATCTAGAATAGTATCTTGTGCCATATCATTAGTATCTAGAATAGTTCCTGGCACATAGTAGGTATTCAATAAATATTTGTTGAATAAGTGAATTTTCTATGTGTAAGGCACTTTTGTAAAACCCTTAAATCTACCTTCTCCAAGAAGCCTTCTTTTGCCGGGCACGGTGGCTCACACCTGTAATCCTAGCACTTTGAGAGGCTGAGGCGGGCGGATTGCTCAAGGTCAGGAGTTCGAAACCAGCCTGAGTGAGACCCCGTCTCTACCAAAAGTAGAAAGAAATTAATTTACCAACTAAAAATATATATACAAAAAATTAGCCAGGCATGGTGGCGCATGCCTGTAGTCCCAGCTACTCGGGAGGCTGAGGCAGTAGGATCGCTGAGCCCCGGAGATTGAGGTTGCTGTGAGCCAGGCTGACGCCACGGCACTCACTCTAGCCTGGGCAACAAAGTGAGACTCTGTCTCAAAAAAAAAAAAAAAAAAGAAGCCTTCTTTCAAATGAATGTTATCTTAATTATTGCAGCATCCCTATTTTACAGATGAGGAAATTGAGGCTGAAAGAAATGAAATACCTTTCCCAGAGTCACTCACCTGAAAAGTGGCAGGCCCAGGGTGCATTTGTTCACCCAAGAAACACTGAGTGCCTCTTGTGTGCCAGGCCCTGGGACCAGGTATTAGGGACATAGATGACCAAGACTGAGTCACTCCTGTCCCTCACAGAACTTTCAGGAGGAGGGGTCACGGTGGGAGGCCCAGGATGCTATAAGAACACAGAGGAGACTGTCACCTCAAGGTCATTGGTTTTCAAGACAAGTGACCATACCAGACCATCCCTTGGACTCAACCTGTACCGAAAATAAGACCTAGTAGTATTTCTAAGCATTTGCACATATAAGGCCTACCCAGAAAATAAGGCCTAGTGATGAGCGTGGCTATGCAGTGCATCTGCACAACCCATGCATTCTGTGGTGGAGCGGTAAAGAAGACTAGCAGCCCTTCCCATCTGCCCCATGAGAGTTCTATTGCTAGATATGAGAGATTGGGGCCAATGGTTCTAAAGGAAATAGAGTCACAAGAAATTCAGGATGGAATTCGGGGTTTGGAGAGTTATGATGATGTTCCAGAAGAAGACTATTTAACTATTTTTGAATAAATGTGGATTATTGTACCATATTTTAAAAAAATAACACATCCCCTGAAAATAAGGCCTAGGGTGTCTTCTTGAGGAAAAATAAATGTAAGACCCTGTCTTATTTTTGGAGAAACATGGTATATTATGATTTCATCATGAATGTTCCAACCCCTAGGCTTCTGGGATCCATTTGGAATTCATTATCCAGCTCAGAGTCCTGTGCTGCTATTTAGTTAGTTAGTAAGTTTAACTAAGTAAGTACATAAGCTGGGGCTACAGGCCTGTGCCACTGCACCCGGCACGTACTGCTCTTTAATCATTTGTGTCTGTTGGGTTTGTTTCTCCCTATGTCTTCCCCACCAGTGGGAGCCTCCCTTGAGAGCAAGCATAGTGTTGCAATTACCCTATGGCATGGTGTGCAGAGCTTTGCATGCCAGGAGCTCAATCCTCGTCTTTGGTAGCCACTCTGCCCATGTTACAGATGAGGAAACTGAGGTCCAGGGAATTCAGTAGCACATGTAGCATCACACAGCAAGTAAGAAGCAGGATTAGAAGCTGGTCACCCCTGAGTCATAACTTCCCCTAACCCCAGGAGGTCCAGCTCCTCCGAACCTGGCCTTCCCTACTCTCTCCTGCTTCTTCTGGGGTTGGTGATTTTGTCCTGGCATAGGGAGAGCAGACTTATGGCATTTGGGGTACAGAGTCAGGTCTGAATATTCAGGATAAAGGCCCATTTTGAAATTCAGGTTTAGGATTGAGGCCATTTTGATGGTGGTGGGGGGGACCTTTTGGAAAGAGCTCAGAGTGAAATTTGGGGTGAAAACTCTCTTCCTTTCTTCAGCGCCTTGTCCCCAAAGATGGAGAGGTCTAAGATAGGAAGGGTTAAGTGTGGTTTTGCTTCCTCAGCCCAGAGGGGAAGCCAGGCCAGGCAGCCGGGTGGGGCAGAGGGGGGTGCCAGGAAGAGGGCTGAGGCAGCGGGAACAGCACAAGCTCTATCCCTCACGTTTCTGGCTCACCTCTGCTTCTGGTTTGGGGAACATAAGGAGGGAAGCAGAACAAGACATTTTGTTTTGTCTGCAAGCTGAGGGTGGGTGTCATGCCTGGGGGAGAAAAGCCATACCCTAGGTTCCCTCCACCTGAGTGTATCCTGGATGCTCACCCCCCTGCCCAGTCACCTGCACAGAGATGAGACGCTCCCTAGCTCCTCTTCCTGAATACCCAAAGTTCCTGCTTTAATCCCACTCCAGCCTCTTGTCCATGCTGAGGCCTAGCTCCAGAACCGAGGACCTGTCCAGCCCTGCTTCCCTTGTGTTTCAGAGAAACCCTGATATCCTGGAGCTGTAGGAGTTAGCAACATAATTTAATTTCCCTGATTCCTCATCAGAGAATGAGCTGTAGGAGGCACTGAGTCAGGGCATGCAAGCTGCTGGGGCCTGGAAGCTCATCACTGTCACCTCTTAGAACAGATGAGTGGCTGGTGGGGCCAGGGACAAGATTAGGGGAGGGAAGTAGGAGGCCAATCAAAAGGGTCCTTGGTGAGGCCTGAAGACAGAGGCTCCAGAGCCTGGGGTAGGGAAGCCTGGGAACTTGGGAGATCCTGTTTTATGAGAGGGCTTGGCCCCTCCCCGGAGCCCACTGCAAAACAGACCTGGCCAGAGAGGAAAGTAGAGATTCATGTGATGCTGGCCTGTGCAGCCAGCAAGGCTGTGGCGTGTTTGCTGTTCTTGACCCCCACTACCCCCTTTTTGGCTGAAACCAGATAGAGACCCAACATTGGCTGTGTAGCGCCCAGCCCTGCTCCCCCATTCAGGCCCCTCTGGGAACCACAAAAATCTGGGCTCTGGTGTCCTGGCAACGTGATGAATGCACACACAGCTCTGGTATCTGTTTTAAATTATCCATTAAAATAAAATAAGTACAGTTCTGGGAAAAAAAATAATAAGTTGACTGGGTGGGTAAGCAGTAGAAAGGGACTGAAGGGGGGAGGAACCTAGGAGGAACCCAGGCAGTCTCTTTTTCCAACTGCTTGGGTCCAAAGGATGGGGGAAGGAGATGGGAGGGGGCAGTGCCTGGGTCCTATTCTTGGTCTGCTTTGGATAACTGCAGCTTGTTGCTTGGGCCTAAAACCTAATGCTTGGTTTTGAAGGGAGATAAACTGGGACAGATGATAGGAAGAAAGGAACCCCAAACCCCTGATTCCTGCCCCCAAATTGAGGGCATAAAGGAAGTCAGGTTCCAGAACTTCACTGCCCCCCAGGGAACCCAGGCATTCCTTCTCCACCCCACCCCTGGCATACAGAGATGCAGCTTTGAATGGGCTGCCCACATGTTGAGGGGGGTAGGGGTGACTCACTATTACTACTGGGAGGGAAGGGGAGCCAGCGGTGGAAGGAGGGTGAGTCACACTGATGGGCACCAGATTCAGCCCTCCCCCCACTGTCCTGGCTCTCCAGCTCTGCCCGCCTGGCCCCCTCCCTTGCTTTGCACCCACTTCCCTCTTTATTCCCCCGCTTTGCCCACCCACTCTCTTTGGCTCTGCCCTCTACCCCAGAAGGCCTGAGGCTGTCGGGACAAGCTTGGAGCTGAGAGCGCTGAGCAGGCAGGAACTAAGACAAGGGAAGCTTCAGCAAACCTCGGGCAGACTGGGGTGCGCTGGGGAGGGTGGGGCCGGACGCTGCCACAGCCGGGCGATCCCTGCCCCTCCTCACCGCTCCCGCCCTCGCCCCTATGGATAAGCGACTGCCCCTTTAAGAGCAGTGGCCCCTCCTCCCTTTAGAGGAGGACCTATTAGAGCCTTTGCCCCCGCGCCGGTGGCTCAGTGTTAGCTGTAGCGCCGCATCTACACCAGCCAACCCAGATCCCAAGATCTGACAGCGCCCGGCCCAGATCCCCACGCCTGCCAGGAGCAAGCCGAGAGCCAGCCGGGCCGGCGCACTCCGACCCCGACCAGTCTCTGTCCTTCGGCCCGAGCTCCGCGCCCTTTCCGGGACCCCTGCCCCGCGGGCAGCGCTGCCACCCTGCCGGCCATGGAGACCCCGTCCCAGCGGCGCGCCACCCGCAGCGGGGCGCAGGCCAGCTCCACCCCGCTGTCGCCCACCCGCATCACCCGACTGCAGGAGAAGGAGGATCTGCAGGAGCTCAATGACCGCTTGGCGGTCTACATCGACCGTGTGCGCTCGCTGGAGACCGAGAATGCAGGGCTGCGTCTTCGCATCACCGAGTCTGAAGAGGTGGTCAGCCGCGAGGTGTCCGGCATCAAGGCCGCCTACGAGGCTGAGCTCGGGGATGCCCGCAAGACCCTCGACTCGGTGGCCAAGGAGCGCGCCCGCCTCCAGCTGGAGCTGAGCAAAGTGCGTGAGGAGTTTAAGGAGCTCAAAGCGCGGTGAGTGCGCCCAGGTGGCAGCGTGCCGGCCGGGAGCGGAGAGGGCGGCTGACCCGGCGCCCCTGGCCGGCTTTAGGAAGGGAGCGGGAAGGCCCGGACGGCTGATAACTTTTGCCATATAGTCTCCTCCCTTCCCGGAACTGCCCCCGGCGACGGGTAACTGGCAGTGCCAAGGGAAATTGTCAAGACAGGACAGAGAGGGGAGGGGTCTCTGGAGTGGGTGGGAGGATATAAGGAATGGTGGGGGCATCGGGGCCAAGTAGGGGCTGGCAGCAGGCCCGCATTCGGTTAGGATGGCATTTGCCAGCCATTTAGAGCCTGCTGGAGGGTGTTGAGCAAAGCAGAACTGGCCCTGCCAGGTCTAAGAACTCTGGGCACCCAGGACAGACGGGAATGGGTGAAAGGGTCCTGTTAGGACTTTCTTGGTAGGCTTGGCATTGTGCCAGCTTTGCCTAGGCTGGCTCTAAACACATGATGTTCACAGAGACAGAGCTACCAAGCTGGCATCTGTCCAGCGGTGCTGGAGGGCGGTCATGAAGGCACAGAGCGACCCCTTTTTACCCCTCCAGGGGCATGCGTGGTGGCCCCTTGGCATGACCTTTCCCTGGTTTCTTAGAGTTGGGAAGCGCTGCCTCACTCCCTCTGTGTCTGGGACCTTTCCTGGGCTCTCTGACAGGCCCACCAAAACAGCTCCAGGAGATTGGCTCCCCCGCAGCTCCCACAGCCCTTGGCCCAGGAATGCAAGGGAGGGAGGGAGACAGAGGGCAGAGACTCCTGGCACAGGAAGTTGTGTTATGTCCAGGTCTGGCAGCACCCCTCTCTTGGCCTTCTGCCTGGTGTCGTCGAGGGTTGGGGGCTCTGCCTTTCCCTCTCTTGCCCTCCTCAGGGTGAGCCGTTTTCATTTTCCCAGCCAAACCAGAGCAGTCTTTGCTCTGGCCCATCCTCTCGGCTGCTGACGTTTTGATCTTTGCCTTATTAAAATGCTGGAATACAGTGACATTTTTGAAATCCAGCCGTTGGAAGCTTCAGGCCACTCCCACTTCACCCATCCCTGCCCCACCCTACCCCACCCTACTCAGCTCCACCTTCTTTTCTAAAAAAACCCTTTGGGAGCCTGGAAGTTTAGGCCCTCTTCTTCCAGTCCTCTAAGAATTTGGTCTCCTTCTCCCTGCTCCCCTTTCCTCTATGAAAACCCAAGCCAAAGAGCACTAAAGGTGCCTGAAGATCCCTAAAGGGCTGGTGCTTTCACTTCCCCTCCTTCTCTCCTTTTAATCATCTACTCCAAACTCATGTTCTTCCCCGAACCCCTCTGCGTATTCTGGGGGTCACTAGCCTCCAGCCCCAGGTGTGGCACGTGTGGCAGATCCATGACCCTTCTGAAGAGTCCATGGAAGTTGTGTGGGAGAGAGGATCTACCTTCATTTCTGTTGAAATGGATCCTGCCTGTCTTTTTTCTACTAGTGATACAAATAACTTAGCAATACAGATAAGAAGCAAGCTAGGGGCTGGGCGAGGTGGCTCATGCCTGTAATCTTAGCTCTCTAGCTCTCTGGGGGGCCGAGGCGGGTGGATCCTTTAAGCTCAGGAGTTCGAAACCAACCTGAGCAGGAGTGAGACCCCGTCTCTACTATAAATAGAAATTAATTGGCCAACTAATATATATATAGAAAATATTAGCCGGGCATGGTGGCACATGCCTGTAGTCCCAGCTACTCTGGAGGCTGAGGCAGAAGGATCGCTTGAGCCCAGGAGTTTGAGGTTGCTGTGAGCCAGGCTGATGCCATGGCACTAACTCTAGCCTGGGCAACAAAGTGAGACTGTCTCAAAAAAAAAGAAGAAGAAGCAAGCTAGGGGAGCCCCAGAGTTAGTTGTGTCCTAAACTAGTCCACTCAACTACCAAAGCCCCCCCTTGCAAAGTGCTGTGAAGGACATTCTCAGCAGATCTGGTGAAAAAACTAATCAGGGAACAGGATGAGTGGATTCTATAGTCTCTTGCTCACGCCATTCTGTCTCCTCTGCCTCTTGGTGCAGCTGTCCAGGCCTGGGACACCAGGCGTGTGTGCGCACATGGGGCAGGGGCGGGGGAGGTGTGTGTACTTGTTATATTTAGCCACCTGCCTCTGTTCTCCCCCACTGATCCTGGCTAGGGAGGCTGGGCTTCCGGAAAAGTGGAGTGGGTTTGCACACCTGGATCCCAGGCTGAAGGGAGGTGGGGTGGAGACAAAGGGGACTCAGACTGTATCTCCCCTCTGTGTCCCCAGTAGGAGGAGTCAGGACTGGTTGCTCCCTTTTGTGTCTGCTGTGTTCAGGGTGAGGTGAAGTGGGGAGGATGAAAAGTTTGGGTGAGGAAGACAGGCATTGTCTGCTGTGCTCAGGGTGAGGTGAAGGTAGAACAAAAAGTTTGGGAGAGGAAGAAAGGCATTATCCCAACCCCTCCCACCAAAGCCTGGGGAGAAGGTGTTCTCTGGTTTAATGTTTAATTAGAGTTCAGAGTTCAGGGCCAGGCTTGGAGTTGAGGTGCAGAGCTGTCTGTAAGACCCTGTGACAATCCTTGGCCCAACCTGGGTACTGCAACCACAACCAGACTTCCTCCTTTTGGGTTGTTATAGGTTCTAAGAAGAAATCCTTTCCCCCAACTCATACTTTTTTGCTCTTCTCTCTCTCCCCTGAAGCCCAAGGGGTTTAGACACCTAAGTTCAGGGAGAATAGGAAGGTTGAAAGCACTGGAGAAGGCCCATCTGGGGTCTGGGTTTGGAGCCCGGCCCCACCCCAGGCAGGACAGCTGGGTGGATGATTCAGATGCTGCCCCCCTCCTTTCCACCCTAATGGCTTTACTTGAGACAGCAGGAGACAGGGTGGAGACAACAGATGTCATAAAGGGAGGGATGGGGGCCTGAATGTCTGCATCTTCTGCCCTCCTCCCCACTACATCCTGGGGTCCCATTCCTGCCTCCTTCCTTAGAACCTCTCGTGGAGGCCGGGCACAGTGGCTCACACCTGTAATCCTAGCACTCTGGGAGGCCCAGACAGGAGGATCGCTTCAGCTCAGGAGTTCAAAATCAGCCTGAGCAACAGCGAGATCCTGTCTCTACTGAAAATAGGAAAAATTAGCGGGGTGTGGTGGTGCATGCCTGTAATTCCAGCTACTCAGGAGGCTCAGGCAAGCGCATCGCTTGAGCCCAGGTGTTTGAGGTTGCAGTGAGCTATGATGATGCCAGGGTGACAGAACAAGACTCTATCTCCAAAACAAACAAACAAACAAACAAACAAACAAACAGACAAACAAAAAAAAACTTCTGGTGGTATTTGGAACTAGGGCTCTGGACAGATGATAAGCACAGATAATTAGAATCCAGGGTTGAGTCCAGAGTTACGGGCTTGGGCTGCAGGATGGTGCCAGAGTCTATGCCTTCCCATGCGAAACTGATGGAGGAAGGCTGAGTCAGAAGTGGGGAGATCCCAGGCCCACAAAGCAGAAGCGCTTCTTCCACTCCAAGGAGGCCCCGGTGCTCGACAACTTCCTGGATTACCCACCTCACGTGGCCCAGTGCGAACAGGCGGGGAGATGCAGGCTCTGATGAGTATGAGAACGGCAAAGGGGATGATGGGTTGGTCAGGACTTGAGCACAGGCATCGTGTCATGTCACAGCAAGGGGGTGTTAGGTCAGGACTTGAGCATAGGCCTTCTGACTTCCAGGTAGGTACTCTTACCATTAAACCTCACTTCTTGGCCGGGCGCATCTCACGCCTGTAATCCTAGCACTCTGGGAGGCCGAGGTGGGCAGATAGCTCGAGGTCAGGAGTTCGAAACCAGCCTGAGCAAGAGTGAGACCCCGTCTCTACTATAAATAGAAAGAAATTAATTGGCCAACTAATATATATAGAAAAAATTAGCCGGGCATGGTGGCACATGCCTGTAGTCCCAGCTACTCGGGAGGCTGAGGCAGTAGGATTGCTTGAGCCCAAGAGTTTGAGGTTGCTGTGAGCTAGGCTGATGGCACGGCACTCACTCTAGCCTGGACAACAAAATGAGACTCTGTCTCAAAAATAAATAAATAAATAAATAAATTAATTAAACCTCACTTCTTTGGCGTAGGGGACAGGTTGGAGGATCTAGAGGGTGAGGTGAGGTGTAGTGGCTAAGGCACATTCCTAGCCCCTGGAGATTCTGCCTTGGGGTCAGTGATGCCTTAATGCTCTGCTGTCCTGCTAGGGCCTGTAAACATATGGTCAATAGCCTTTGCTCCAGCCTGTACCTGGAAAGACCCAGGCCCCTGCCAGGCCATAGAACATGAGAGCTTTGGGATCAGAGCTCTGGGAGGATGGTGATTCACGTCTTGAGACTTCTCATGGGAATTGTCTACCTGGATCTGAAGGAGGCTATGCCCTTTGGCAGAGCCATTTGGTTAATGGGGGTGGGGGCCTTTGAGGATGCCTCAGCCCTAGGCTTTACCTAAGAGTAGTACCTCCTGATGTTGTCTTTCCAACCCCCTCACCCAAGTCCACATTCTGAATCAAAGGGAAAGAAGAAGGTGCAGCTAAACCCAGTGGCTGAGGAGTATTTAGGGGCCCAAGAGAAACAGAGAGAATAATTCCTCACTAGGAGCCCCTATTGTCTTCCCACTATCGATGCCTCTGTTGGCACTTCCCCTGGCCTCCAGGAATCTGAGACTTACATGGGATGTGCCCATTGTTCCCACTCCCAGTCCCACCCCCAGTGATACGGTGGCTCAGTGTCAGGGCTGAAGCCAGGAACAGCTGGGGGACAACTGGTGGGGGACAACTGGTAGGAGACACCTTCCCCTACCAACTGTGCCCTCTGTTCTCCTCCCCCTTGCCTCCCTCCTCTCCAGCCCCTCACCACTTCTAGCAGCTGTAGCAACCAAGACCAAGTCTTGTTCAGAGACCTGACACTAGGGCAGGGTTCATCCCGTTCTTACCTCCTTGGCCCCAGTGTACTGAGGGTGACACAGGCCAAGCTTGGAAATCTCTGGGGAGGT